AGGAAATGATAATATAAGGTCTTTGTCTGGAGAATTCATACAAGTTGGAAAAAATGATGAAAAAGGAACGGCATCACCATTCTTCTCAAAGGAAGAAGAAAATTAGAAATTAATGTTAATTTAGGTTAATCTGATTTATTCTCTTAGACACTTGTGTCTCATTTTCAAGCAACTGAAGTATCAAAGTAAGTAATGAAAACTTTCATATCCTTTATTTATAGGTAATATAATGTCCCAAGGTCTGGAATGTTCCCTGAGCTTAAATTTAAGTACATTATGGGGGAATTGCTCATTAGTCTATAGCATGTACTCCTATGTCTTTAAATTTCATTTTAATTATTTGTACTAATTGACAGACTAAATTCCCTGGAAGTCCTGAGAATTTGTATTTCTAAATCTTTAATCACATTAGATCCTTAATATTTCTCTTGCTATTTAACAATGGAGCAAGATTTCACTGCAATTATGTTATTTATACCATTTATCAAGAAAAGGGAAAAAAGCCTCTTTACTACTTGCAAAGAGCAATAAGTCAATAACAACATAATTTAAGAAATTTTTATAATGGCAATAATAATAACAGAAGACAAACTATTTTTTTCTTTTAGATCTACCCACCAATATTTGATGGGGTCTCAGACAAGTCCCTGACAAGTCTAGCCTATAAATTAGAGATGCAAATACTTACCAAATAACAGAGACACCGTATATATCTGATATTATAACACTTTCAAAGCATTTTAAATTGTTACTATATTCCTATCACACAGAACTTTCACTCTAATTATCAGTTGTGATTTCATCACTATCATCACCATCATCACTACTCAAATGCTTACTATTAAGCATTTGCCCAGTGAAATGTAATGAAGGGATTATTTGTGGAACAAGGCAAACAAATTTCACACTATATTAAAGCCCTAAGGTGATCCTAAAACAAGTCCTGCAAATTAGATGGCTTCAAACAATATAAATCTGTTCCTTCATAGTTCTAGAGGGCAGAGATGAGAAATCAGGATATCAGCAGGGCACCCTCCTTCAAAAAGTTTTAAAGAAACCTTGCTTCTTCTAGATCCTGATAGTTTCTGCAGTTCCTTGCCTTGTGAAAACATAACCTTAACTGCTGCCTCTCTGTTCATATAGCCTTCTCTTCTGTACATCCAAAGCTTCCTTCACTTCCTCACATAAAGATATTGCAGGTTTGGATTTAAAACCCACCCTAAACCCAGAATGATTTAATCTTCCGATCCTTCACTGTTTATATCTTCAAACAACCTATTTTCAAATAAGGCCATGCTCTGAGATTTTGTATGTTAGTAATTTGGGGAGGAGCATTACTCACCCGATTATACAAAGCAACTAACAGCTCTCATAAAATGTTACTAGGACCTATATTGAAAAGAATTCTATGACTCAATTCGGGATCAGTAGGAAAGAACCCCAGGACCATGAGCAAAGCATGGCAAGGAATCACTTATCCATTAGCAGACTGAGATTCAAAGAAGATTTTCAGAGTCCAAGGTCACTCAGTGACAGGGTTGCACTAGAAATAAAATCTCCTGACTCACAATTCAGTGTTCTCTCCACTACACAATTTAATAATATTGACTCATCTCAACACTTCTCTGGAAATGATTACTAAAAATACACATACAAGACCTTGAAAATTACTGTCACCTTAATATTTATGTTGAAAACTTTCAAGAGCTGATACAGTTGAGGAAAGTATTACTAGTAACAGAAAGGATATTTCCTGATGACAAATGGCGATTAAAAGGGTCTATTCAACAGGAATATATAAAAAATCCTATATTTATAAATATCCATTCATATATCTTTAAAATATAAAAGCAGAAAACAAAAATTAAAAGGAGACCTGGGCAAATCCATATTCATATTTGGATGTTTTTAATTATCTCAAAGACAAAAAATGAGAAAATACCCGGAACAGGCCTGTTCCACATGCCTGTTTCTCTGTCCTCATAGTATAAGCTTCCCCTCCACCCCATCCCATCCATGGTTTAGCTTTCCACACTTTAAGTGGCCTGTGGTCAACCACTGTCTGAAAATAATACATAAGATATTTTGAGAGGCCACAGTCACATCTTTCATTATATACATTGTGTCCTATTTGATTATTATTGTTGCTAATCTTTTTCTGTGCCTAATTTTATTTGAACTTTATCATGGGTATGTGTATATAGGAAAAATATATCTGCAGTTTTAGGTATCTATTGGGGGTTTTGAATATATCCCTGTGGATAAGGGAGCATCACTATACCTAATTTGGATATTGTGTATGTGTGTGTTTGTGTCTTTGTTTATGAAACAGATTGTTCCATAATTTTCTCAGACTTGGTATTAAGGTTATGCTGACCTCATTAGGCAAGTTGAGAGGTCTCCCCTCTATCTTATCCCTGAACAAGTTTGTGGCAGATTGCTTTTATTTCTTGCTTGCACATCAGAAAGAATTTACTGGTGAAATGATCTGGGCCTAGGGATTTATACCGGGGAGTTTTTTACTAGGAATTGAATTTCTTTAATAGCATGCTATTGGTGTTTTTTAAAGAATTTCTTCTTATATTAGTTTTAGTAAGTTGTTAATGACTTTATTTTATCTACACTTAAAAAACATATTTGATATAAGATTGTCCATGCTATTCTCTAAGTTTATTTTTAATACCTATAGGATATCTTTCATTACTGACATTATTTTTTAATTTCCCTTTAATTTGGATCATTTTTGTTAGGAATTGGTAAATCTTTCTTAACCTTTTTGATGAATGAATATTAGGATGGATTGCATTTCTTTTTTTCACATTGCCCTCATTTTAGAAAGCAAAGCTTGTGCTCCCACCTAGAACATATTATGTCTTGTTTGGAGTAAAGAAGTCAGCAGAGCAGGAGATGTACCCTTCTGGCATCACATGTATTTATTAAATCATATCAGGGAAGCGATGCCCTCTTTCTCAGCATCCATCACGGCACTTTCCATGTGCACACCTCTTCCTCAGTGTCTGGGGTTACTGGGTCAGATGGATAAGCAGAGGCAAGGGTCACACACTGCCAGGTTCAGTCCTGGCACTGTCATTTGTGGGCAAGAGTCAATCACTCAGTCTCTTTAGTCTTAGCTTTCTCATATACAATAGTGTGTCAATAATGATATTTCATCTTAAAGGCAATGAAAAGGATTAAATGAGATAATTGATGTGAAAATGCATAACTCAGACTCTGGCACATGAAATGTTACATGAATAAATGAAGAGACAGATATCCTCCTGAAGCTGGAGATACAATACGTATCAGTTATTTGTTAAGTTATTAGCTATTAATGATTCATGCCCCTTAAAGTCATGATTGTCTACTTTTTCTATTTAATGAGATTAATAAATGTTCCCAAAAGATTATCATTTATTGTTGCAACTACTTGTAATGTTTCTGTCTGTACCAGATGCATGATAATTAGAATGAATACCGTGCCTCTAAAAACATATGCTTGTGGAAAGATGATGAAATACTAGGAGAGAGTGTGGTGAGTGTCCAATACACGTGCTCTTGGTACTCCATAACAAATCATGGAAACTATTCTTTTTGAAGAATTACCTTGATTAAAAAGGCCTCCAAGGCAGATCAGTGTAAAGCAACTAGTGAAAGTGGTTTTAACTCATGAGACATCAAATACTGAGGGAGACTGAGAGTCAGTAATAACTCTGGGTTACATTTTGTCCTCAAACTCTGATCCCATGTGACCTTTGTCCTGACAATATTTTTGCAAAGACATTTCCTTGCCTGGAATGTTCCATCTTCATATCCCTGCCTGGAAAATCATTACTCATTTTTAAAAAGCACATATTACATTTAATCAAAAAATGTTTATAAAGGCTTCCGAATGTATCAAGTAAGCATCTTGGTTAGACTAACAGCACAATCAGACTGCAACCTCATCTATACGTGCTCAGCCTTTGCACAATTTCCCTGAGAAGCCTGGCTGGCTGCTCCCTCCTGGTCCTCTGAGCTCCATGTACACACTTTGTGTTGTATTAGGGAACAAGTGCTTTGTTTACTTTCCTGGACTGGGAGGGAGCTCCACAGAGGAAGACCTACATAGGATTCCTCTTTTCTTCCCTAGTTCATACTTCAGAGTCTTACACGCAGTGGGTGCTCAATAAATGTCTGTTGAATGAATATTTCATTACTCATGAGGGCTTGATACAGTAAAATCTGTAAAATGATTCTCCTAACGAATATGAGAGAAATGAAACAATTATGCTCAGGAAAATTACATATTTTTGAAATACTCTTTGCTTTTTCTAATTTTAAGAGAATTTTATTAGCAGTCCTAGCAGCTAATTTAGAAATGCCCCAAAAGCTGTCATTGGTTTTTAAAGAAATGCACGGTATAAATAAAAGTGAAATTATAACTCACTGGCTTTTTTTCCAGCTTAAAGTTATGAAAATTTTTGATTAAAAAAATTCAATAAGTTTCCCTTTTATTGGAAATAGTTATGTATATGAATGACTTAATATATTAGAAGATTTGTTAGATCTCTATGCTAATTGACAATATTTATCCAGTCATGGTAAGTGGTAAAAGGCATTAATAGAATTTATCCTCATAATGCCAAAGTCTGACACATCCTACAAAGAGATAATAATATTATCTGTAAATATTGTATATTTAAAAACACTTAGTATAGAGCTAAAAAAATTCCTGAAGTTTGAAAAAGTGTGCAGAACCATCCTTGAAAAATAAGAAAAAAATTAAAAAGAAGAAAAAAGTCAATCACTACTCATGCCAAAAAAAAAAAAAAAAAGGAGAAGAAGCCATTCTTTACATAGTGCAAAGCAATCACTAGAGGCCTAAGCAGCAGAAATATCAAGGAACATTGGCGTTACAGAAATGTAGCATCCATTCACTTGTTTTGAAATAAGTAAAATACTTCATCACACTAAAAATTATAGTCAAAAGGACTAAAGGGTGAAATTATGAAAGTACCTACTTGGTCTGGTGTTTAGATCCTTTCAGATGGGCGTGATACTGTTCTATTGAGTTTAGGGAGACACTGCAGATTGTACATCTGTAATTGCGCCTCAGACCTGTGGACAACAGAGACTAGTTAGCTGCAGTCTTGTCATCAACCACTTGAATGAATCCTATACTCTCTAAGATAAGAGTTCAGGGATTGAGCATTAGGAGAGACCATCTGATCCAAACCACCACCAACACTTCAATTCCTCCATCCAGAGTCCAACCTATAGGTCCCTTGCAGAAGTAGGAGTGTGAGATGTTAGAAGCAGCCTGCTTTATTTCTGGATGATTAAAATTATTAGTATATTTTTCCTTGATTGGAGGTAAAATGTTTCTGGACATTTTACAGCTCAAACAGAGAAGCGTTCTTTTTCTTTAAGGCATATAACCATGTGGGACTATCATTTCTGCAATGGACTTGAGACTTCAAAAAAAAAAAAAAATCTGTCCCAATTGTTCTTCTACCACTACTCCAATGGCAGCACCAGAAATTCAACTTTAAACATTCATTTGGGTTAGTTTTTCAGGATTATCTTAAAAAAATGATGATGGTCAAGGATTTGGAATGCATTGGTGGTGGGTGTAATCTGCTACCATACATTTGAAAAGGTGTAATCCTCTACCTTGAATTATGTTGAGTATTATAAACCAATGGTACCTCAGTAAAAGAAAAAGAAGCATAATGTAAAATAAATGTAAATACCCAGGAAAAGGATACTATAATGATTTAATTCACATGAAAACTTACTTTCCCACAAGAAAATCTAAGGTTTTCATTCATTTGTTTTTATATAGTTCATTCATTTACAGAGTATCCTTTGGACTTGACACTAGGGACTCCATGATGGATAAGATGCTCTTTGCTTTCAAGAACTTTTGTAAAATACCTCAATCTGTAATATTGACTCATCTAGAGTGAAATATGTTAGAAAGCAGCTTTAACCAAAGGATTTTAAACATTTGCCTCAAGTCACAGACCCACGGTGGAGTATATTCCTTTTTGCTAGAATGTCCCAGTAAAGAAAAAGTAAACTCAGACTCATGATTTGAACTTTGGGTTTAGCTCTTGTACCCTATTAATCATGACAATATGATCTACAGGAAATAATCATTTGTTCCTCACCTCAGTTTCCCCATCTACTAAATAGAGACAAGCTCATTCACACCAGTGGGTTATTATATCAACTAAGTAAATAAGATAGTTTAAAATGCCTAAAAAGTCTTAGTTGTTACTAGTTTATTACAAATTTCTGTTTTACCAATATAAAGCCAGGATATTAAAATAGTGCAGAATTTCCCCTCCAAAGTGAATGCATAATATTTTTTTTCTAAGATCTAGCATTTTCCTACTTTACTAAGATGAAAACAATGCACAGTATTGGAAGAGCCTTTAATCTTGCTACAAATGTGACTTTATATAAAGTATTCACTTCTCTGAACTACTGATACTTTATAGGTTTATAGCAAGGACTATGTGAGATAAAGCATGCATGAGAGACTGCCTGGCATATAATAAGTAAGCAACAAAAGTTAACTATTATCATAATTCTAGAGATATTAAAATGGAGACCTTTGTGTTCCAATAACCCAGATGAAGACTTGAAACACAGATGCCAACTACAACCACATTCCAAAAAAATGGTCTAGAATCAGCTTCCATACCTAAGCTGACCATCGACAACCAGTTTACAAAGGAGATTGGAGAGGAAATAAACAGGTAAAAAGTTTCTTAGAGATTGCCATATTGTACTGAGAGTTCCAATACAGGCCTGTCAAGAAACATGACAGACCTCAAATAAAAAGTCAAATCTCACACCTTAAGAAACTAGAAAAAGGAGAATAAATGCAACCAAGAGCCACTAGTAAGAAATAAATAATAAATCTAAGAGTGAAATAAATTAAATATAAATTTAAAAAAACAATATGAAAAGAGAAATGAAACCAAAAACTTGTTCTTTGAAAAGAAAAGTAGGGAAACTTCTAGCTAGACTCACTGAGTAAAAAAAAAAAAAATTAGAAAACTCTAATAACTGGAATCAGAAACAAAGGAGAAATTATAAGAGACATCTCAGAAAGATAAAGGACCATAAGAGACTACCATGAACATCTTTATGTCAAAGAATTGGATAACCTAGAAGAAATGGTCAAATTCTTACGAATATACAACCTCCCAAGATTGAATCGGAAGAAATAGAAAACCTGAACAGACCAATTACAAGCAAGGAAAATACCTGAGTATTTTCCCCTCCCTATAAATCTCTCCCTTCCCTATAAAAAAGGCCAGTACCAGATGGTTTCACTAGTGAGTTCTACCTTCACCAAAATGAAACTAAATCTATCCTTCTCAAACTCGAACAAAACTTTGAGGAACAGACTATGCTTTCAAACATGTTTTATGCAGCCAACATTATTCTGATACCAAAAGCAGAAAAGAACCTCTCCCTCTCTCCCTCTTTCCTCTCTCTGTCTCTCTATCTCTATCTTGCTATCTCTCTGTCTCTCTCTCTCACACACAGAAAAACATACACCTCAACAAAAATAAAAAAAATAACCCAATCACATAATTGGAGATGACCCTACTTAACTGTTCAATTAAGAGTCAATTCAGTAATTGGAAAACAAAAATGAAATCACCTATTTCTGGTATATTCTTGGGTAGCAATCTAAGGGACTCAAAACTTTCCAGGCATAGATATTTCAGAGATGAAATAGATGACTGTTGTATGTCTACCACCATAAGCAATCATTCTCAAAATTCCAAACATGGGTGCATCCTCTGGTGATTATTCTAAAATGCAGATTCCTAGGCATAGCATCTGAAGATTTTATAGGCTTTTAATAGAGTCTGGGATCAACAAAATTTTCAGGCTCATAATTCCCACCCCCAAATACACACACATTTAAAAAAAAATACTGCCCACAGACTCAAATTTCTTTTGGTAACTTGAATTTGTCAGAAAAATACCAAGTCTTTCAAAAAACGCTATTTGGTAAAGAAGAACTGTGCTTACATTGGCTTTCTATTTCACAGGTGTGCATGATTCAGAAAGATTACCTAGTCCCCAAGTCCAGAGGCTATAAATTATGGCAACCAGCTTGTGAGTTGTTTGAATATTTATCCAGGGCTGCTCCATTTTCCTTTTATGCATGGAATCAGAATACAAAAACAAGCTTCAGGCTTTATTCTCTCCACAATTCTCCAAATCAATCTTGTCTTAAAAAAATGGTAACCACTATTTATGTAGGTCCTCTTCAGACTACAGACTAATCAAAGATCACAGAACAAAGGGAGCTCTAGCTTGGTAACAGCCATAAATATTTTTTTCTTAAGATGGGCATTTTAAAGATCACCAACAAATCTAAAAAACATTCTGATCTGCTGCTTTCCATTACAGTTCTCATGTTCTGCAGCCAAACAGTGGCGTGGGCAGGAAATATTTGGCATTTTATTGTGATGCAAACTACAGGGAACATAAACTAGAAGGCAGTGCATGCAAACAAGAACAAAGGCAGAGAAGGGGCAGAGTCTTCCTCCCCCACACATAACACAGTGTCCTTGGTGGAAACACACTCCTTTATTAATACTTAGTTGAAATCCTAATTACTTTGGTATTATACGACTCTTTTTTATTTAGAGAACTAGAGAATCTTATTAAACAATAATATTAACTTTCATATTTAATTCATTTTCAGAGTAATACCATGTTAAGAACATCCTAAGACCTTTGTAGACATGAAAGTTATTTGTGGACTACCAATATGTATTAGGAAATATCATCCCTGCCTGCAAGGAGCTGACACTGGAGTTGAGAGAGAAATTAAGTACATAAACAGCAACAGTGCAAGTTATATCATAAAAGTATCAGTCAGGATGAAGCAGAATGGTATAGGGACTAGAAGAAGAGATTATTTCTAATTCAGAGAATCTGGTAAAACTTTGGAAGATGTGTGACTTTTGTATTTATATTGTCCTACCACAGTGTGTAAATAGATGCTAAACAGTTTAGTATTATAAAACTAGGCAATGTGTCTTCAAGTGTAGCAAAGCCAGACTTTAGATGTCCCTGTGAATTCAGCTGCATGCATTCTAGTTAGAGAAACATCATTATGCCTTAATTATGGTGCCAGTTATATTGCTGAATGCCAAGAATGTAGCAGGGAATAAAATAGAATAAATTAGCTTATGGAACTAGTCATGTAAAAAGACAAGAAACAAGTAAACAAATAAAAACATAAATATTGTGAAAGTGTTGCATAGGATAGAAACACAATAATGAAAGAGAAACAGGGAAGAAGCAAAATTTTGGACAGAGAGGTCAGCAGAGTTTTCACAGAAGAAGGAAATGAAAGCACAGCAATTAGAATTCAGCTGTGATGTGAAGAACGGATTCAAGAGTTGTCAAGGAAGAGTATGAGCAGCTATATAGGCCCAGGATATAAATGGGCTTGGACTGTTCAAGAAACAAAAAGTGGTGAGAGAAAAAACAAATAAAACAAAGTAACCATTAACTCAGAATTCTATATCCAGCAAAAATATCCTTCAAAACTGAAAGTTAAATAAGAACACTCTTCATAAACAAAAACTAAAAATAGTTTTCTAACTGACCTGCATAACAAAAAATGCAGTTATAAAGTTCAGGTGAGTGGAAAATGATACCAGCTGTAAACTCATACGTGCAGGACAAAATGAAGAACACAGTAAGTTTTAATATGTGGATCTATATCTTTTTTTATTCATCTAAATTTATTTGAAGATAGCTAATAATTTAAAGTGAAAACTAACATTGTATATTATAATACTGTGGTGTTTATAATGTATATACATATAAAATACATGACAACAGTAGCACAACATGAATAGGAGTATAATAGTACTGTTGCAAAAGCATTATATTTTACTTGTGATGACAGATGTTAATTTTAAATAAATAGCAATAATTTAAGGATGTATACGTTTTTTCCCTAGAAACAAATACAAAGATACAAAGCTAACAAGCCTACAAAGTAATAAAATAGGACAATAAAGAGTATTTGATTAACCCAAAAGAAGGCAGAAAAAGAGGAATAG